CAGCAGTGCCCTGGGGCTCCGTTGTGCCCTCAGGGATTTATTTGCCCTTCTGTATTTCCCTCCTGCATTCCCATGCCATGCAAGCAGCACTTCTGCTCGCTCTCCTGTGGCCTTTGGAGCGCGGAGGGCTGGCCTTGCTGCTGTCTGCACCCTGGGGGTCTCACGGAGTGTGTTGTGACTGTCTGGAGGGGGGACACTAGCAAGTATTTCCCTGCCTAATGGGGTACGTCAGCTGCTTGTACGAGTGCAAACAGCATCACGGAAGTGCTAAGACACCAAGCTGGGTGACAGGGGTTTGTGATGGAGGTAGGCTGTACCTCTGTGCCCCTTTGGGGTGGGCGGAGAGGGCTTTTGGGGGTCGGGAAGGGCTGTGGGAAGTGGGAGGTGATGGGCAAGGAGGGGAAGGGCTTAGGGGGATGTGGTGTTTGGGTGATGGGTGCAGTTGTCACGTGAACTTTTGGATGCTGGACAGCCGTGGATAGGGCTGAGCGCTGGCACTCGGGTAGCTGTTGTAACAACCCAGGAAGGTGTGTTTGGGCTAAACCGCGGCCTGTGATGTCTGTTCCCGTTGATGGCAGGTTTTCAGCGCCATTGTTGAAATAGGAAAGGAGCAGCTTTGCAGGATTTGCTTCCAAGCTTCATTGACAAAGAGGCAGCTTCTTAAATGAGCGGTATGCAACGTTTCCTCTTGGTTGGCATTTTTATATGGTACTGAACCGTGGTGTGTGTGTTTATATCGGCTAATTTGCGAACTCTTCCTGCAGGATGGTTGCCCGGAGTCCCTGTTTGTTGCTCTAGTTTTTGCATGGATCCCCATTTTCTGCCACTGTGCCAAGTGGCTCCGTTTCTGGTGACGGAGACAGGAGTCACCCAGTCATTTTGTATGTTAAGGGCTGGATTTAATGGCGTCCGTTTGGCCGTTGGAGGAGCGGAAAGGTGTGAAACTGCCCGAGTGGGAAGCCGCTCGTTCTGGGTACGGTAACGTGTGGTTTTACGCTGGTGTGAGTCGCTTGTGTGCACGCCGAAAGCTTTGACCCTGCTTTGGTTTGGCTTTCTCAGCATCTGCTCCGTAGGGTGGCACTGGCAGCTGGATCGCTTCCTGCCGTGAGTCGGAAACGGCCCTTCTGCATCGGGAGGCCGGGAGCCGAGGCCGGGGTCTGTCAGTGCAGGCTGCTTCGCTTCCCTGCAGTCGTAGGCTCTGTAGGGCTTGTGCTGCGAGCGGGCTTGGAGCCGTTGGTGTTTTCCATGAGCTGTTCCATGTGAACACTAGAAGGCCTTGTTTGATGGAAGGGGGATGGGAGGAAAGAGCCAGCTGAATGGAGACAAACATACTCCTGGCTGTGATCTGCCGAGTGCTGCTGAAGGGAGACTTGGCTAGTGCTTCTGTCCCTGACGCTTCTCTGAGCGACTACCAATTTTAGGTGTCTACACATGGCCTAGCCAGGCTTTTTTTTTTCCCCCCCTGGGTTCTGGGATGCAGAGCTGACGCAAGGAAACCTCATATAATGAGTTTCAAGTGACCAGCTCTTCAGCTTCACTGCTTGATGGCTTTGCTCCTGAGCAGGGTGGGGTATTAATATGAAAACCAGGAAACAGCTACATTGAGTTTCGTGCTGTGGAAAGAGGATCCTTTTAGCTCTGGCTCTGGACAGCGATTCTGAACTTTAGCTGGGTGACTGAAGTTCGTGCCACTATGCTAAATTGTTCTTGCGAGCTCATAACATCATTAATCAGGGCCCTCAAACAGCCTGATGGTAGGAGTCCTCCTGGAAGCTAAGTGGTGTGCTGAGGGGGCAGTTGTGATTCAGAGTGTGTTTTTCAGGTGTTAAAAACATCAAGCTTGCCAGGTAAGGATAACAAGCTAATGCTGCCGTTGTACCATACACCAGCAAAGGTCTGTAGCGCTCCAGTACTCTCCTGTTTTGCCCATTCCAGTATCTCAGGTGCCTCCAGATTGTAGGATCTATTGTCTGTCTGGAACAGCAATCCTAGCAGTAACCTCGCTGATGTTTTAGGGAAGGCTTGTTGGTGTTTTTCCCTTTGAATTCAACCTCCCAAATTTGTTTCCAAGCTGTTGCATTTCTTCGAGGTGCTCATTCTGTTTCTCTTTTCCCTCTCCAGGATGGTGCCATGGATTTACTGAAAGAACTGAAAAGTATGCCTATGACGTTGGACTTGCTGCAGGTGAGTTTCACAGTTAGGGTAAAAAGCCGAAGTCTGCATTGGGACGAGTTCAGAATGTTGTCTGAAGCTTAATAGATTTCCTTTCCATCCATAGAGAGATGCTGCCTCACTCTAAGCATCAAAATAAACGTTAAAACTAGACATCAGTACTGAACCTGGGTTTTGGACTGGCAGTTAAATAGCTCTGGGCTGCCTGAAACTTGTGCACAGCACGTGGGGCAAATGTGGGTACCTGCTGAAATCCTTTCTTGGGTTTGAAGAAGAGGAAAGACCAGATTAAGGTAGCAAACACAAAAGGCAGCCACGGGAGAAGTTCTTGAAGTCTTTGTGATGGTGATATTCGGGACACTGGGGAGGTGCGAGAGCAGAATTACAATTTGGAGGTTAAGATAGGCATCTTGGGTTTTCACTCTAAGCTTGAATGTCACTTGTAGGGGTGCAGAGAAGGTATTTGTGGGTGATGGGGTGTCTAGCTTCTGATCGGTTTGGGTAGGCTGCAGGGTGCAGTCTTGCTCTTCCAAAGTTGTGAGGGGATAGGAATTCGGCAAGTCTTTGGATACTCTGTATCTTGGCCATTGCTTTGACTTCATCCCGCTTATTTCTGATGTCAGTTAGTAACAAATAACGCATCTGGTCTTGAATGGTGCATTTGAATGTTCACTTGCAGTCCACCCGCATTGGGATGTCGGTGAATGCCCTGAGGAAGCAGAGCACAGATGAAGAAGTGATATCGCTTGCCAAATCCCTCATCAAGTCCTGGAAAAAACTTTTAGGTAAGAAAACCGACGTGTTCCTGTCAGATTCAACTTGTGAAGGAGCTGGCTTCGGCAGGAGTCTGCCTTTCCCAGGGGAGCTTATCTGTTGATCTGAACACATGATCCTGGCAAATCAGCCTTTGCAGTTGCACCCTCCCAAGTTTTGTCTCCTGCCGTGCCTTCCTCTAGATTTAGCCCCTGTTCAGCTAGCTCATCCTTGGAAGGGCGTTGAAAGCTTCAGGACTGTGCTTAACGACTACCTGCCCGTATAATAATTAGCAGCACTATTTGTAGAACCTCTACCCGCACTCTGAGCCCTCCGCCCGCCCGTGTGCGCTGTGTGGCTTTGATACAGCGTGCGCTGTCAACCTTGTGCAACAGCTCCGAAAGAGAAATGCTGGAATGCATTTGGGGTGGTGAGCTGAAGGGCCTTAGTTTACCACCTTGTAGACAAATTCACGTGGACTGTTTCCTGCTGGGAGGACTTCCGTGGTGATGAACAGCGAGCAGCAGAAGCTTGTCGCTCTGAGGAGTCTTAATGCTGCTACGGCACAAGCTAACGTCGAGTTGCGGAGGGAGGGATTGAAAACGTGGTCTTAGGGGTGACCTTTGTGATAAAAGAATGAGGCCTCTGCGGTGTGGAGACTGGCAGGGCAGCTCTGCCTGCGTCCTGCTAGCCAGAGGCAAAGTACCCCAGTGTGAAATCCAAGCGCTTTTTAAACTGGTCTCTTGGGCAGCGGTGTGGAAGGAAGATCAAGAGTAATGTGGTGGTTGAGGCGAAGTGAAATGCGGGGCTGGCTCTAGCCCGCACCCCAGAGCTCTCCCTTTCTTGAGAGGCCAAACGAGCCCTAGCAGCAGCATTCTCCTGCCCTGGCTGGACTGTCACTTCCACGTTAGGGCTGATTTGTCTTGCTGGGGCTGAGACAGTTTGCCTCTGGGTCAAACTCGTTCTACAGCGTAGTGAAAGGCCTCTCCGGGGTTGTGCTGTTGGCTTTCAGCAGCACTCGGGAAACACAAGAAGTTGTGTTCCCCGAAGGACTAGCCCGTGCTGGCCCTTCAGGTGGTGTTGGCTGGAAATGCTGCTTTTAGTGGTGCTTTAGAGAACTTGCTCTAATCTGTGCTCAGCAGCCAGCGTGTCTCTGAAAGAAACTTTTGTGATGAAGCATGTCTTGTGAGGAAGCTTATCTCCTCGGCGGGGAAGGTGGTTGCTCCCTGGTTTGGTGAGGAAAGCTTTTGTTGCAATTAGTTACGACTTGGAGGCAAGCAGAAGGTGTGGGAAGCGTGGAAGGCCAGAAAGGTGTTATTTCTGCTGATTCTTTCTGGGGAATAATAACTTGCCTTTGGCCAGCACCCTGTAGTGTTAAGATGTTGATTAGTGTATGCGGAGTTGTAGCATAAACACCAGTTCTGAACCCTTTAGCTTCCGTTTCTCTTCTTTTGATTATAGATGCTTCTGAGGAAAAAAGTGAGGAGAAGAAGAAAAGCCTGTCCTTGCCAACATCTTCCTCGAAGGAGACTGGTAACTCGAGAGACCAGAGGTAATGCTTCCCTTTAACCGAAGGTGACGCTGTTACAGAATTTGAATTTCCTTAAGGCACCTTACATTGATTTTTGTTTTTAAGTGTCCGTGTTGCCAATTTTGTGTAGTTGAATTCCTGGTCAGAAACACCAGAAGTGCAGCCTTTTTCAGAGATGATCTGTGTGGTTTTTTAATAAGCTGTAATGCAGAAAGATACATCCACAAAATACAGTGGCTTTAGCGAGGTTTTTCTATTTTATTCGCATCTTATTTCATGTTTTTCTGCTCTTGGTTATGTGTTGATTTTATTTCTATTCATGAAACATTCCTCTGCTCTTTTTTTATGTTGCATTTTTGTATATTTTTGCTTATTTCTAACTTTGAACTCCTTAGAATGAAGATTGGTTTTGGCCTTTGCAATTTCAAGGGATGGACGGGGTTGGTTGATACATCCCCGTAGTAAAACTTTGGTTTCTTTGTCCTTGACAAGCCCCAGCAGAAGTCCTCTTGGCGGTCAGGACCGAAAGGCCTGCTGCACGCTCGCTCCTGGCTGTGCCTCGAGCGTGGCCTCCTGTTCCCACTGCCCGCGACTCGCTTGCCAAGCCGTGAGGGCACTGGCCAACAGGGAGGGGGCAAATGTGATTTAAAGCTTTGCTCCAGAGGAGGGAGTGTGCTTCCTAGGTTTGACCCTTCAGTGGTTTAGCCAGCTCCCCAAGTTTGCCAGAAGATTTAGCAGAGGATTAAGGCTGTACTCCTGCTGGCTTGCAGGCTCTTCTGTGTTTGCAGCCTATCTCTGTTGGTCGCTTTCTGGTCCCTCTACCCTTTGCTTTTCCTTATTTTTTTTTGCTCAGATCTCTCGAGGCTTGACGCTTTGGTGCGACCCTTTGCAGCTCTACACGGAGCTGCTGATGGAGAAGGCTGCTGATGCTGAGCATCTGTGGTTCTCTCGCCTCCCTGGAATGTGGAAAAGCATTTGCTGAGTATGGCAGTGCAAGTCCTGGGGGGACTTCAGGGCCAGAACTGAGTCTTGTGGTGCTGTGGTGCAACAGGGGAGCTGGGGCTGTCGAGATGTGTGGGTACGGTCCATCCCGTGGTGATCTGGGGGTCAGAGCAGTAGGATGGAGTCTCCCAGCTGCTGTTTCCTCCCCAGTGAGAGGAGATGAGGGTTGGAGACCAAAGAGCAGTCAGTGATAGTGGAGAAGGGTTTGCTGTGCGAGCGGTATCCAGCCTTGTGATGCAAATAACCTTCTCCTAATGATCCTTGGACTCTGAAGTGCAGACTGGTGCTGCCTTCCCCAGGGTGTGGACGCAGGAAGGAGCTGTTGCAGGGCTGATGAGGGTAGGAACGGAGTCAGTCATGGGTAAGAGCCTTTGTGCATGCCCTAACTGGCAAAGGGAGGCAGGTTTCTCTCCAGGGTAAGGGCAGAAACCTGCGTGGAAGCACTCGTTGGCTGTTTCTGATGGGGAAAGGAGAAGGCGAGTATTACCGGCTGGGCTGGTACTGCTGAAGCCAGGAAGCAGTGTTGCAGTTCAAAGAAAAAGGGAAGCTTCTGATTTAACCTTTGGAAAATTGACCTTGGGGAACGTGGAGCCTGGAGGGAAGGAAGTGTGACACCTTCCCTGGGCACAGTGGCAATAGGCACTTCATGAGGCCAATGAGCTGGGCCTGCTAGGACGTGTGGTTTGAAGGCTGAGGCTTGTAATTTCACTCCGAAGAGGATCTTGGCTGTAGGTAGAGCGGCAAAAGCCCACAGTCTCCTTGCTTTGTCAGGCAGTTATTGGAGTGGAGCTTTCTGGCTTGTCCTACTAATGCTCCCCCCCTGTGCCTTGAGGATGTGCTGCAAATCCTGCAGGGTTGGTTTTTGTTCCCCCATGGTGCTTTCTGCATGTATCCAGCCTCCACCTCCTGAATGGCAAAGCATCCCCTTGGTTGTGGAGGACAAAGCAAATGGATTAGCGTAGCACAGACCCGCAGAAGTGGCTAGCTCCTGGTGTCAGTCTGTCAGGCCAGGGTCTTTTTACAGAGACAGGGATGTTTATTCTCCAGGGCTGTAAAATAAACCACTAAATTGCCTTGACCAAGAAAGAAAATATTAGCAGCAAAGAATCTTTGTTCTTTGAAGCACAGGCTGTGGTGAAGGGAGTCTGACGTTGCTGAGTGTGTGATGGCTCGCTGAGATGAGGCTGCTATGAAAGCACGAAAGAGATCAGCTTGTATTCAGATATTTCAGCCGCTTAGCCTGATAGATTTTGGCTGGGCCTTCCTCTTCTGTCAGGGAGAAATACTTGAATAGCTCTTGGCCTGAAAACTTGTCTTGCTTTCTGGAGCACAGATGTAGAAATCCCTCTAGTGACTAGAGAGACCTGAAGGCTCTGAGCCAGCCAGTCTGGAGCTGGCACCTGTGAAGTTATATGCTGCATTACTGTAATCCAAAGCATGTTCTGCTGTGCTGTAGTATTTTTGACCATTATTTAGATGACTAAAATGTAGGGCATTTTAATGCACTATGTCTAGTGTTTCTCTGTCTCTGGCAGCATGAGCTTTTTCTTTTCCAGGATTCTCTAAACTGCCTGTATTAGGAGGTTTTGGATCTGTGGCCTGAATTCAGCTCTTCTGTGGGATTTTCTTCCAGGGCAGCCCCGAGTCCTGCTTGCAGTCCCTGGCTGTTGTTTTGCTACCCTTTTGCTCCAGCATAGCCATTTTTTATGTATAAATGTTGGTCACCTGGATAGATTTACAAGCTCTTTCTCCTGTTTAACAGGAACAGTGTGAACCACAAGGATTTCCTGAAATAAGTCTTCTAGGTGTGTTTGAGCTCTATTTCCCAACTATTCTAACTGTAAACTAACTCCTAAGCTTAACAAATAACTTTCTGTACAGTCTTTGGAATGGCTGAGAAGTCTATTTCATCTAATTTGTGAGTGATCCGTTGTCATCTCGGGGCACGTATGACATGTAGGTGTATGTAGGTGAATACCTTTACTCAGCAGCTAACAGGAGTGGGATAACCATGCATCTCGTCTAGCTTTTTTTCTGCCTCCAGGGAATAAACATCTACACATTTAAGTCAATAGCGTTTGCAGATAGATTCCCTCCTGAAAATCAAGTATTGCCTGCACAAATATTAGGTTAAAGACCTGGCTTTCAGTATTGAATGTGGTGAAGGTCAGTGTTTTTGCTCCGGGAGATCTTAGTGTCACTGTTGCTTGCAGAGTGAGACAAAAGTTAAAGCTAGAAGAGCTCTTGGGAAAGCTTCTCCTGCCACCCCTTCCCAGGGCAGCCCAGCCTCTGCCCAGGCTGTCCCTGACAGGCCTTGCTCTGAGCTCTTTGACAACCCAAAAAAGCCTCAGGGTAAGACATCTCCACAGCTGCCCTTGGCAGTATCTTCTAATTCTAGTTAAAATAGTCTGACTAAATAAAATAGTCTGACTAAATCATCTAAAATAGTCTAACTCACCTTTACAATATGAAACTTGCTCTCAAATCAAAACCTGTCTGGACCATTTCTTCATGCTTTTGTCTTTAGCAAGAGGATTTTTCCGACCATCTTCCTTCCAAACAAGTTTTCTGGTATTTCAGGACTTATCTCCTCTAAGTCCTCCCTGCTGCAAACCGCTCCCGATTCCTTCAGGCTTCCCTTTTATTGTAGGTGTGTTCTCTGGGCTTTGTGCCTTTGGGAAGTCGCATTTTTCCAAACTGTCATTTTTTAGATGAGTTCTTCCCGAGTTGGGTGTGCTTTGTGTGCCTGTGAGCTGTGCGTGGCTTAAGCACAAAAGTACCTGATGGCGACTCGTACATCCCGGATGGGAGAAGATCATCACCTAACTGGTTACTTGCAAGCTAAGTTATTGCTTCTTTTTGTGATCCTATTGAATGTTTTGAGCTGTTTGCACACAAATCTGTTCTGTAGTAGCCTCCTGCAGTGCTGACCAGTAAAATGAGCTGGTAAAAATGTTTTTATTCGGCTGCTGGTCAAAGAGAAACACAGCAAGCTTGCAACATCATCTCCCTCAGCGTGCATCTCTTTCATCTGAGCAAGAAATTAGTCTTTCACTGTGGTTTTTGCTGAGCAATTTGCTGAAGGTGCACTGGTGGATGCTTCTGAAAAGGGCCTGGCGAGGTTTTTGAACTGCCTAATGGTGATCTAGAGGCTTTGGGGGCACTGCAGAGCCAGACTGGGTTTGAACTTAGCAGCGGGGTCTCCCAGGATAAGGCCCTGAAGGTGCCTGGCTCCGTTTGTGCAGCAGGGGATGCAGAAGGTTTCCAGCTTAGCGCTGGTTTGCTGTGGGCTCACTAATCCCTTCCAGGACAGTGTGGGGGAAGTGCCTGTTCGTAACAGATTTATTTTTGATGGCAAAGAACAGCTTAACAGCGATTGTCAAGCCAAGACCTTCAGGAAGGTGTTGCCAGTATGGCATGGGTGAAACACCAGGGTTTCTCTTTTTTTTTTCTTTCCTTTGTCTCTTACTGCATTAGTGGTACCAGCCCTTGGCTGTAAATTCAGTACATTTTATGGTCCAAACACCAAAGTCAGAGCAATTTCTGCTGAAAAAGTTGCTGTTCTGCTGTCTAGATTTAAGGGGGGGTGGGATGGGGAGGAGGAGGGAAGCTCTGTAAAATCATCTGGGAATCATAATAGCCCGAATCTTTTACCAGCAGTTTCTGCAGGGCTGACTAACTCTGAGTGCAGATGTTAGGCTTTATGGGCAAGACGTCTCCGTGCCGTGGGCGTACGTCCGGCCAAGCTGCTCGGTGGGTTCCTCCTCCGGCACAGGAGCCTCAGGGGTGTGTGCAAGCCCAGCCTGGGCAGGGATCCAGCCGTGTCAGGCAGCTTCGGGAGGTGATTCTGTGCCTTGGGCCTCTCCGGGCGGCTCCCCTGGGCAGCAGACCTGAGGCAGGCCCGGCAGGCAGGCGTTTGCATTCCCTGCCTGTGGAATTTTGCATTCCCATGGCTGTGTGCAGGTGGAAATGAAGTGGGTTTTGTGAGTGAAGCAGCGTTTGAGCCCTGTGCTGGCCTGGCACCTGCGCCGGCTGTGTGGGGTTGTCTAGGGGTGCTCCTCTGTGAGCTGAGTAATAACAGTCTTGTCCAGAGGGCAGGGAAAAAGGAAGATCCTCTTAAGTGTTACACCTTGTGGTTGTTTGTTTTTTTTTTAATATCAGAGCTGAAGGAGCCATTTTCTTTCTCTTCTTGAGCTCCTTCTTCTGCAGGGGCTAGCGAAGCTGCTCTGATTTCTGCCCCGGGAGGCGGCGCGCTGCACTCCTTGTCGGCTACCGAGAGCTAGAGCGCTTTTTGGTTTAGCTCTTCTCTTCCCTGCTGCTGGCATCTTGGCGGGGGATGTGACATGAGGAACCAGCTGAGATTAACCCCAATGGTGGCTTCTGCTCCCTTTCTGCGGAGAGCAGCTATGGGCTTGGTGTCCTGCAAAGTAAGAGAGGAATAAAGTCCCACGCATCTGTGCACTACACTACCAGGCCGAGAGCGTGCTGATGGTCTTGGGAAGGATGGGGGCAACCTTTTTAAACTAAGAGGGCAGATTTAGTCTAGATGTAAGGAATTTTTTACAATGAGATGGTGAAACACTGGAACAGGCTGCCCAGAGAGGCGGTAAAGCCCCGTCGCGGGGGACATTCAAGTTCAGGCTGGACGAGGCTCTGAGCAACCTCATCCAGCTAAAGATCCCCCTGCTGGCCGCAGGGGGGTTGGACTGGATGCCCTTGGAAGGTCCCTTCCAGCCCAAATTGTCCTGTGATTCCATGAAGTCCTGAGCGTACTGGAGTTACCGGTGGTGTCAGGCAGCTGTAAGGTTTTCGGCTGATGCCCAGGGGTGCAGCAGTTGCAGTGCTGGGTAACAGAGTTTGGCT